GAGACGGGAGACACAGAGAGAGGCACAGACAGAGAGAGCAAGAAGTGAGAGAAAGAGTGAGAGAGACAGTAAGAGGGAGATGAACTGTAGGGCGGCCGGCCCATCGATATGACTTACATGTTCAAATAGTGCGCCTGGTGCGATAACGTGGGGCGAGTTTACGACAGTGTACTCGCGCGCGGCGGCGCTCCACGGTTAATGGACCTTGAAACACGAGATAGCACGGAGGCAGATGACTGAGGTCAGGCCCGGGCCCCGGCCGAGGGCTGGCGCGCGGGCGGATGCCCCTACCGAGAAAGTCCCGCGTTCGAGGGGACCACTTCAAGTAGTCGCCGTACAGCGGTTTACTGGAAACGATTTCGTGTGCCCTTCTACACGGGCCACGCGCAGCCGTTACATCATGTGGCGCGGCGGTGGCGCGCCGCCGAAATCTATGGTTTGATACCTACTCGAGATAGCAATAATGTTTTTGTTTTTGTTTTCTTAAGTTTACTTTTGTGCCACACCGTTTATTTGTTTCGGTGGTGCGTTTGTTTATCCTTTTCCATTGATATATCACTATAGTGTATGCCCCACCGGGAAATACCGCATGAAAATATATACAATCTTACGATACTAATACTATTTTCTGAGTGACGGGTGGAGGGAGAGATAGAGAGAGAGAGAGAGGGGGGGGCGGGCTAGTCCGCGAATAACGTCACGTGGCTCGCTCGGTATGCTTATCGCTCGAACTGTCTTGTCGCAGACTCGCACGACGGGCCGCTCACTGGCTTTTGTGTCCCCCTCCTTCTCTCTCTCTCTCTCTCTCTCTCTCTCTCCGTCACTATGTGGTCCGACTCGAGTGACCGACTGACTACTGCCTCCCCGGTCGCACCGCGGCCCCACCACCGCCGCAGCACCCGGCGGCGGTAGCTCGCGAGGCGCCGTGTCGCGACTAGAGAGAGAGAGAGAGAGAGAGAGAGAGAGAGAGAGAGAGAGAGAGAGAGAGAGAGAGAGAGAGGCGCATGGCTGGCCGCCACAACAGCCTGGCCGGCAGTACGCTGCGCGCCGGCGGGACCTAACCTACACCCACGTGGTCTGCTGCCGGCGGGTGGAGCACTCGTGGAACACCGCGAGCGTGCGGTGCGCGTTCTCGTACTCGTCCGTCGTGCGCGCGTCCAAACGAGCGACACTCGCAGGGGAAAAAAAAAACGAACAAACAAAACAACCCGTCAACATGAGCAGGGAACTAGGTGAGTCCGGCGCACGTCGTAACGTAAAACATAGGACTACGTCAGTATGTAACTAATCAGAAAATCAAGTCAAGTTCGAACATCCCGGGCAGTATGCCAGAGTGTCTCACCAACAACAGGACCGGCTAGGACGCGTCGTTGCAGTATTTGACGCTTTGAACATATCCTGCGCGGTTACTGGATGACTATTTTTGTTGCTGAATTTGTACCCATGCTGTACGTGACAAAGGAGACAAAATTTTGCTGACGTGCGTTTCGTCACATCACATCGCACTTGAAATATAGTTGTCGTCACTTTTGCTGTATACAGTAACAAACTTGTTTCCGAAAATCAAAATTGGGACAGCAGTCGCTCTCGATACAGCATACAAAAAACAAAAGTACCCCTAGTCATTTCTTGATAAATATTTGTGCGAGTGATTCAGGAGGCAAGGGACAATCGTCACACTGGAAACGAAAGTGTGTGAATGTCGCACACTTGCAGGTGTGTGCACCCATTCGTACACTTACGGGGGTAAACGTGTGAATTTACGGGGGTAAACGTGTGAATTTTGTAGGAAAAATTTACACGTTTACCCCCTAAAGTGTACAAATGGATTTCACACACCTACAAGTGTGCGACATTCACACACTTGCGTTTCCAGTGTGCATTTATGCGATATGACAAGTATGGTGTCAGAATGGTGTCCGACACCGTCCGCAAACGTTATCGATGGGTGACGGTGCGCAGAATAGTGTTTACCCGCTCGTCTCATCGGCCCGATTGTCCCCCGAGAGAGCACGACGTCACCGGCAAGACGGGCGCTCTGGTGCTCTCTTGGCGACTGCGGACCTGACTGTGTCGCGAGCTATTCTTTTGCCCCCCCCCCCCTTCCCCTCTACTCCACGGGGTCTCGGTACACTGTTGCCGAGAGGTATGCAGGACGACCTTCTGATTTAAATAAGCCCCGAGTTTACGGGTGACTCAGTTCATGTGCACTTCCAAACGCGTTAACCCTCTTTGAACTTGAACTTGCACCCGGTAAACATCAATTTACTGGTTTAGATTACTGGTTTCTCTGCGACTGGCCACAAGGAAATTAGAGCGTTTCTTTTGTCTGCGCATCATCTTAGGGATTCAGTTTTTCAACTGAAGCCCTCTCAAAGGTGCGAGTGATTTTACAGACATCAACCGCGCCAAGCATACATTTAAGGAGTGTTGAGTGATGACTCAAACAGAATGAGGGGTCGAAACAGCGTTTTTACACGGGACAAAGCGAAGAGCACCATAAGTTATGGAAAGGAGTACGTTGCCCTTGAAAAATGCACATTTCCACTTCATGTATGAAATTTCTAACCATAGAATGCACAAAAAAAAATATTTCAGTCTTCGCGAAGTCAGCTATGCTTTGTGTTACCTTCATGGAGTTTGCGCTTTGTTTGTACTGCTGCCCTGGTTCTCCACACTGTCCCTAAGTAGTGTCATGGGGTCGTCAGCCTCCCAGCCACGCTCCCAGCTGCAGCTGATAAGAGCGGCTCTGTATCCTTCTTATCACCTCAATAACCGCTTCCAACTAATTGACCTTTTACAATTACGAGCCATAACAGCCAATAATGGGATGTATAAATGATATGCCATGCCCCCGATCGAATGGCTATGGCAAAGAATATATTTTACGATGAGCTGCTTCTGCTACCCCCCCCCCCCCGCAGCGTGCCGTGCTGCACCTTACCGAGCCCGAGGAACTCCGCCCATCCTCTCCGCTGCTCCCCCCCCCCTCTCTCTCCCTCCCTCGTCTGACCTCGCACGCAGTGCGTTTTGATTGCCAGGCACGCAAACGATACGTGCGGTCTTGTGGTCCCCGCGTGTGGAACGCGTTGCCTGCCCAGGCGGAACGGGTACCGGAGAGGATCACAGCATTATCAGACTTTGCGGAAGAGTACGAGGCGACCGGCGAAACAGGACAGGGATAAAAGTGATTTGCTTTTTTGTCCTTTCGGTGGTTTTTTTTTTTTTTTTGTTTTTTTTTGTTTTTAACCAAGTATTTTTTAAGCAGAATTTATTCCGGGGGAGGGAGAGGGAGAAGGGAAGTGAAAGAGAGGTAGTGTTTTTGTTTTTTTGTTTTTATGACAGAATGCCCCCACCCCCCGGCGGCCATGCAGCGTACACAATGTCACCGGACACGGGAGCCGGAAGCTGCCGACAGACCGACAAAACTGTGTCAGCCGAGCTAAATAGACGCAGCAGTTAGATGCGGCGCTTCACTTGGAACAAAAAACAGTTTACACTAAACGCCGAAGCCGAACCGTGTTGTGCAGACCAGCCCCATGAACCGGGTCGCGACGACGTAAGAGAACGCCGCCGGGGTAGCATGGGGGGAGACTAGAGTGACTGATAGCAGACAGGTAAACAGCAACCCCTATGTTCACGCTAACACAATGAAAGAGGAAAAAAAGATTAAAACTTTTTGGAAGGGGTTAGTGTTTTCACAATGTAGACACCATCATTTGACACTTGCAGGCACCACACCACCCTCAAACAGCGGGTGGGACGGAGAGGGCTGGAGGGGGCCGGAG